TGATGATAATACCCTGTTGTTTAGGGTTAGTACTATAGAGCTTATTTATTTTCATTGTGAACTCTTCATTAATGTTGCTGACCTTGAATAATCAAGGACATTTTCATCATTTGGCTCAAATGAACTAAGTGCACCAAATTGTTATGCTTGTTAAGCGTTCTCAATCTTGAATCAGGGCAATTTGGTTATTTTTACTATAATTTATGAGGTAATTAAGTATACAAACCAACACTCTTATTTTTGTATGGGATAATCTGACCTCCTTAATAATTTGTGAAGTGGTTTGAAGATTTGATTGATATTTTTCCCAAAAAAACAAACATGTATAACTCACTTTACTTTGGATTTAGAATTAATTTCATGCAAAGCAAAATGTCATTGTAACTTGCTGATAGATGTACCAGTAGCCAATGACTACAATCATCTTGTATTTCATATCCATCCGAGCAACTTCGATTGTTACAAAAGATAAGATGAATAAGGGGAAACTCAAACCTTCAAGTCTTGAGAATGATATTATTGATTTATTGAATCATTTCATTAGAAAATGTCAAGTCAGAGAGAAAATGGCATATCTACTAAAAATTGACCCTACTACAAATATCAAGATGGACACAAGCCATTTATAAAATACCAATGATGGTAAACTAAGTTTTAGAAATGGAGATCTTAGAATAGGAGGTAGGGCTGGCAATGAGTCAATTGACCTGGCCCTAGAAAACTATGGCCTGAGCCACAAAGAGGCATGAGAGATCTGGTCACCATGTCCTAAGGATAGGGCTGGGCCTGGCCTTGTCCGGTCTTTTTTTTTTGTTTGTAGCATGGACCTCTTGATAGGGCTAGGGCTAGGACCTCTTCGGTCTGGTCTATATTGAGCTGGGCTCGAGTTGGCCCTTTAGGGACCAAGGCCAAGCTAAGGCCAACTCGAACCTAGCCCATTATTACTCCCCAGTTCAAATGGTCAGAATAAGTCATTTTATGATGGAAAGAGTTAAAATAAGGTTACCACTAACAGTAATCGCATATATCAAAATTTCGATAGAAAAAGAGTATTATGAAGTTGGAAAAACTTTGAATTTGATAATATTAATCTCGAGATGTATGGATTTCACGTCCTAAAAATAATGCATTTTGTTGCAAGATATCTAGACAATCTATTTTCAAGATTTTCAAGTGTTTATAGATCTACTTGAACAACACCGTTTTTTGAATTTTAAATTTCATAACTAGTGTTCAATATGGATTTTCAAGCCATTATAATATCTCTGACACCGAAATTTTGTATAGTATAAGAGAAGCCCCTTATATAACCTCACCTTTTTATTATTGGGAATGATGCACTAAGAAATTGTCACCTATCTCTAAAGATGTGATTATTAAAAGTTATTTTCTAACACGTAAGAAGTTGAATTTTCAAAAATTCTTGAGTCTATAACTTATTTTTTCTAGGAGATTGTATACAATGATACCATTTACCTTTGATACAAGGATGTCGCAATTACTTGCAACTATTTGATTTGAAATCAGAGAGCTTAAGAGTGTCACAAGGTTTGATAAATTTTCTTTTAAAATTTGATCTTGGTCAATGAAATAAATGCAGCCATCTAATTTCATATCCAATGGTCAAGATTAATTGTGAATACCTTATACCAAAGATAAATAATCTCTATGTGTTATTTATTTATTTTTCTAAAAGTATGAATAAAGTTGTTACAAGATCCCTTTTGAACTCCCCTACATAAGTATGTGAGTACAGGATATTTATTGAACTGGGATATAGGTAAAGGGTGCGGTTTGTATAGAGCCTAGGCTCTAAACAATCAAATTAGAGCCTACATTCAAATAGTATCGAGAAATATGGTTTCAAAATTGGAAATCTTTTTGATAGCCTTAAAATATATTTTCATCTTTATTTATAAAGTTTAAAGCAAAAAAAATAGTGTAGATCGAGAGATCTATGAAAACTTGAAAATATTAAAAATTGACGGTCCAAAAGTGCATTACAAAATACACTATTTCCAAAACTTGAAATCCATTTTTTTCTCATGTCCATGCATCTTGATATCGAGATGATGAATTTGAGGATATTTGAACATCAAAACAACATCTTCTAATGAAATTTTTGAGATAGGCTCAAGTTTGATTGTTTAGAGCCTCGGCTCTATATAAACTTTTCCCATAGGTAAAAGGCCTAACAAAATACACTTGCTTTACAAGAAAGTGGTAAAGGATGTGTGAGCTTTTGAGAAATATGCGGTTCTAGTTAAAAAAAAAAAAATTGACAAATTTTTAATGCGTTTTAGACAAGTGTTTTAAAACTCGGATCTGGTCGGTTTTTCAATCCACAAGCGTATTGTATTTTACACCAATATTTTAAGGAAAATGTTTATATAGAGCCGAGGCTCTAAACAATCAAATTAGATCTCACCTCAAAAATTTCACTAGAAGATGTTGTTTTGATGCTTGAATATCCTCAAATTGATCATCTCAATATCAAGATGCATAGCCATGAGAAAAAAAAATGGATTTCAAGTTTTGAAAATGCTACATCTTGTAACGCATTTTTTTACTGTCAATTTTCAAGATTTTCAAGTTTTCATAGATCTACTTGATCTAACACTAGTTTTGAAGCTTTAAAATTTATAATTAGAGATGAAAATATATTTTAAAGCTATCACAAAGATTTTCAATGTTGAAACCACATTTCTCGATACTATTTAAAGGTGGGTTGTACTTTGATTGTTTAGAGCCTCGACTCTATACAAACTGCACCCATATTTTAAAGAGAAAAGTTTATATATTAGAACTGTTGTTTTAATGTTGATAAACCCTATAATTCATCATCTCGACAACAAGATATATGAATATGAAAAACAAATTGTTTCTGAGTCTCAAAAATAGTGCATCTTGCAATAGATTATCTAGACCGTCCATTTTCAAGATTTTCCTATATTTATAGATCTGTTTGATTTTAAAGATTTTTAAAATTTAAAATTTTCTAATTAGATATGGAAATGGATTTCAAGATAATCCTAAAACATTTTTACAACAAAATTACGTGTCATGATAAAATTTGAAGGTGCACCTTAATTGGATTGTTCAAAGGTTGCGACCTTATAGAAACCGCACCCCTATTTTAAAGCCCTAATTGATCGAGTGTCTAAGAATCTAAAGTATATAAGTAACACTTTTGCATTGTAAACCGGTATTTTAAAACCCGGAGCAATGTGAATTTGACTTGCACTCACACACAAGCACGCATAGTGGAATGAGACTTTCAATATTTATGTTGCATAAGGTTGCAACCATAAACAATTAAAGTAAGGCACACTTCCAAAATTTATTATAACATATAATTTTGGTGTAAAAAATGTTTAGGATGGCTTGATAGTCCATTTCCATCTTTAATTATAAAATTTTAAATTTCAAAAATAGTTCAAGTCAAGTAAACCTATAAATACTTGAAAATCTGGAAACATACGGTCCAAACATTGTATTGCAAGATGCATTATTCTTGAAACTCAAAATCTTTTTGTTTTTAGTATTCATATATCTCGAAATCGAGATGTTCAATTGGAGGGTTTCCACCATCAAAACAAACTTTTCCAATGGATTTTTGAGGTTTGTCTTAATTTTACATTTTAATATTGCTACTTTATATAAAGTTTTGGGAAATTATAAAACATATCTTTTTGTTTTCAAATTTTTAGAAATAGATCTTAAAATTTTCAAAACCTCATCCATACCTATGTTCACCACTTTTTGTATTTTTTGACTAAAATATGCTTCACAAAAGTATTAGGTTTGTGAAGGCATCACAGTTAACTCGGAACCATGATGGTCATGGAGGGTTAAAAAGCTGTTTATGTGGGGGCTTAAGTCATCACAATTGTATTAGGACTGTGATGATGGTGCAACATTAGAACCATCAAAGTACTTACGAGTTAAGACAGGAGTAGAGGCCATCAATGCTATTTCGTCCTAATCGAAGTATCATTAGAATAAAAAAAGTATTGTTTATACACCATTTCATTCCGTTAATTGGATACAACAAGGGTAATCTGGTGCAACGAACAAGAATAGTTGGGTGGGTGGAATCTTTCTATTCTATACATAGCAATTCTTTAGCTTTTCAGAATAAATAGAATTGGTGGGATGATCACCTTGACTATAACTGATCTCGCACTACCGTGATGCCCTTCATGGTTTAATTAGAGTCGTGATAGTTGAATAACCGATCATGGTGCTTTAAATACGGTTATGTTGAACCGTGATGCCTTCACGGATCTAAGACTATTATGAAAGGTATTTTTATTAAAAAAAATATATAAACAATGGCAAAGAGGTTTTGAAATATTGGAAGTTTATTTTTAATAATCTAAAAAATTGGATATTTTTATGATTTTCTTAAACTTTGTTCTTTGAATAATATCATCAAGGGTGCACATTGTACGAGGTTCACGTTTATACCATGCAAACTTCTAAATAGCAATGCGGAGTACACCCTCATTCTCTCTCACCAAAATGTGTGCCCTTTATCACCTCTTTTTTTTATATTCTTTTCTCTCTCCCGTGCGTTTGCTTAGAGTCGTGGCTTTAAACAATCAAAATAGAGCTCACTTTTAAATAATATCGAGAAATATAATTTTTAAATTGAAAATTTTTAGGATAGCTTAAAATATGTTTTTATCTTTAATTATAAAATTCAAAGCTTCAAAAGTAGTATACATCAAGTAGATCAATAAAATTTTGAAAATCTTGAAAATTAACTGTCAAAAAATGTATTATAAAAAACAAACTTGAAATCTATTTTTAAAACTTAAAATTTAATTTTCTATTGAAATCCATTTTTAAAACTTAAATTTTAATTTTTTATTATGTCCATTAATTTTTTATTGAAATCCATTTTTAAAACTTAAAATCTAATTTTTTATTATGTCCATATATCTTGATGCATAGGATGGTTGGGCATCAAAACAACCGCTTTTAAAGTAGGCTCTAATTTGATTATTTAGAGCCTTAGCTCTATATAAACTTTTCCCCTTCTGTTTGTGCTTTGGGTCTCAATATTTGGATATCTAGTACTTACTCTCTCTATGCATACAGCTCCATGGTTCCAGCCATGTTGAGGAATCCCTCTTTAACTTTCACAAGCCTATGCCATTTCAGAGTTCAGTTTCTCTCTCTAAATTTCCCTACTTGGAGACGATCCCATTGCTCGCTGCATTTCCTGTCACCCTCTATTCACAAATACTCAATACCCAATTGCGCTTTCAGATTCAGTAACAAAATAATGGTGGGGAGTCCAAGGCTCAATCCTAGAGGTGAGAATAAATTACTTGCTCTCTGCTTTTTTCTATTATTTCTTCTGTTTATTCATCATTATATTATTCATTTTCTGATGGGTGTTTGAGTTTTTCAGTGTTGATATTTCGGTATTGTTTGCTAATTGGCACCAGTTTCTCTCTCTGAGTTTCATTATTTCTTCTGTTTCTTTATCATGACTTGCAGTTCTTTTCTTATTGATGTATGTGTTCTTCCTTGTCGATATTTGGGTATGGAATTCTGTTGCTTTCAAATGGGGTGGTGGCTTATTGTTCAATCTACATTGGGAGGGAGGGAGGGAGGGAGGGAAGGGATTATGTTCATGTTTTTTTATTTGGGTGTTTGTGTTAGAGAAATGGGGTGGTGTGTTATTGTTCAATCTACTTTTGTTCTGGTTTTCATTAGTTTTAATGGGATTGTTTGTAATGACAGTTGCTTTCAGTGCTGGGAAGTTTGAAGGACAGAATAAGGAAATACTTGTGCAACACTTGCTTGTGGGTGAACAAAACCTCGAACTTCTTCTTGAGCTTCAAAAGAGGATAGCTGGAGGTTGGGATTTTGAGTTTCTGGTATTTATAACATGAGAATTCCTAGTTTCTTTTTTTCCTTTTCACTATGCTTTCCTATCCTCATGAATCGGACAATAATATGTTATTCCACTTACTTCTATTGCCCATATGAACTTTGTTTGTTAGGTCCGTAGGAATTTGTTTAGGAGTTATGCTTATATGGACTTCTTGATGAGAGCTCCCTCTCTACAAAACAGAATTTGCTTTTCTTTTTTTTCTTTTTTTTTGGGGTAGTAAAACAGAATTTGTTTATTGTAGGTTATCTATAAAACTACTACTCATCTTATGTAGCCAATTTCAGTGACCTCGAGAATTTATTTATTGCGGGTTTCTCTCATAGTGAACTTTGCTTTAGTAAACATATTACTGGTTATTCAGTTAACATAATAAGAAAAACATATTGCTGGTTATTGCTGATATCTTTCATGTTTTGAATATATTATTGCAGGAGAGGATTTGAGTGATTTGGCAGTTGAATTCTCCATTTGTCCATCAAAAGAAGAGGGGGGAATGCTTGGGTGGGTTCAAAAGGGACAAATGGTATGTTTTCTTCAGCTATGTTTGATGCACTTTTCATTCACTCCTTGATAGAAGTATTGATTTTGAAAAAGTACAGGTTTCCAATATGATTCACATTTAATAAAATGTCTTTAGGAATCCTTTCATGCTGATAGATAAGAGAAGTATGGCTGAGAACTTTGTGAAAAATTCATTCTTCATTATGTATTTATGTGAAGTTGTGCATTATGTTTTTATGTATTATCATGAATGATCCTGAAACTTCAGTAATTCACAAAAGTCGTGTCATGCAAATCATCTTGATGAAATTGGTCAGAGACATAGTATGCAACTATGGATAAGCTCAACACCCTTGATAAGGTAAACGGGGTTTCTTCTGAATTCAAGACCCTATTTCATCAAGATGATTTGTCCGCTATGTCCATTCAACCTTAGACTTTGTTAATTTAAGGACTGGACACGTGCAGCATGCATCTCACTCTTTTTCTGCGTGCATTAATGTCTGTACAAATGTGCAGATAGCGATTGATTACCATGCATACATGTATTTTTTTAAACAATTCCTCTGCAAAATTTTGTAGGTGCCAAAGTTTGAGGAGGCTGCATTCAGTGCACCCCTTAATAAAGTAGTTAGATGCAAAACAGATTTTGGTTGGCACTTGTTGCAAGTGTTATCTGAGAGGTCAGTGAGTATCTTCCATTTCTTTCCTTAGAATGTACAATTCTTGTAGTTGGAAGTGTTGTGCCTATTGAAGCGACTTCTCAAGAAAAAAAAAGAAGCTTTAGTGTCTATTATTTATTCCCTCTTGACATAAAACTTCTCTATTTCTAGGGAAGGATCCCTGCTTCAAGACATTGGGCCTGAGGAATTTCATCTGAAAATGGAAGAACAAGATTTCATTGATGAAGCTCAGCTATTGGATGTTCGAGAACCTGATGAAGTGTACGATTATCTTTGTTCATAGTTTTCTTTGTTGTTTGGCAGAAAAAGCACATTCTTTTTTTCTCTCTCTTTATACATATATAGGGTGCTGTTCGTATAGAGCCAAGGCTCTAAACAATCAAAGTAAAGCCACCTTCAAATAATGTCGAGAAATGTGGTTTTAATACTGGAATTTTTTGTGATAGCCTTAAAATATTTTTTCACATCTAATTATAAAATCTGCAGCTTCAAAAATAGTGTAGATCAAGCAGATCTATGAAAACATGAAAATCTTGAAAATCGACAGTCCAAAAATGCCCTACAAGATGCACTATTTCCAAAACTTGAACTCTATTGTTTTTCTCATGTCCATGCATCTTGTTGTCGAGATGGATATTTGGGCATCAAAACAACCTCTTCTAGTGAAATTTTTGAGGTAGGCTCTAATTTGATTGTTTAGAGCCTTGGCTCTCTCTCTCTCTC